TTTTTTTTTTTTTTTTCAGCAGCTAACTAAGTATGTAATGACAAGCAAGTAAATCTTACAAAATGTGGCACTACCGGTACAAAGCAGGAAATTAACCCTTTCCGGAACGCTACCTTTTAAAGTCGGAGTTTTGATTAAGAAAAGGTAGGCAGTCTAATTAGGTCTAATTAGGCATTGCTATTTGGAAAATGGCTGCTACTTCTGTTTCCAAATTAGTACAATTTCTCATATATATAATATTGTTTACATTTTCTTATACTGCCATATTGTATTCATAATTAGTAATTTTAGACATTTTATTTTAAATGTCAGTTTGAGAAAATTGTGGAGTGGGTAGATAAAGATCTACCGAAAAGAGTGAATTGAAACCCAAATATACTGCTTATCGAGCCAAAACACCACTGAAATGTTATTGTTTGGCAAGGAATTTCTAGAACATTTGACATTTGAATCCAATAGGTACAGGTTACAAAATCGTAGCAAAATGAATTCAATCAGAATCGACGAAATGAAGGTATTTTGTGGAATCTATATGTACATGTAAGTTGTAGATTTACCATTTAGAAGATGGTAATCATTACTGCAAACAAAGCAGGATTGATTTCAAATGCAATTACCGTACATCGTTGGATAGAGATTTGTATGCCTGTACGTCTATGCATGCTGTCCACTGTAGCAATTATTTAAAACGAAATTTGAATAAAATTAATTTTTTTAATTATTACTAAGGTTATTTTAAGTAGAAAAATACAAACATTTTCGTTTAACTTCTCTAGATTATTTGTATGCAACAAAGGGTTAATGTCTCGGCTAATTAAATTCGTACGAAGATGAAAATGGTCGACATGGCTTCCCACGAAGTTTTAGAATCCGGGTTACGCCTCTCGAAGCTCAACTCCCCGTTGTTTCGGTGGCGATAATGCCACAAACAAACAGATTTTAATAGTATAGATCGTGATGTACAGAATGCAAGAAAGGAAAAAAAATTGCTTAAAATCTTAATGACATAAACTAGAAATTCAAATATTTCCCTTTCGTAATACAACAACCAGCAGCTGATTCAGTAAATATAGGAATAAATGTAGAGCGTATCTGCTTTCTCAAAATTTTCTAATGTGTGTATGGAAATATTTGGGATTTTATTTTGTGAGAAACAGTGAAAAGTTTCATTAAAAAGTGTTCATCAAAAAGTGTTCATCAAAAAGTGTTCATCAAAAACAAACAGACAGACAGACGCGCACAGATACAAGTATTTTATTAAGAAACTTTTTAATAAATTACTTTAAGTAATATGGTAAATCATAAAATGTTACGTTTTGTTACGTAATGTTACATTTGCACGCACACCAAAATCATTTATTTGAGAACTTCTGGCTCTGCTTTAATATCAAAGAATCAGTCAAGCATTTCAGTCTGGCAAAATGCATTAATTAATAATTTAATTACAAAATTTTACGACAAGCCTACCCATTTTAACGACAGATAACTCTTGCAGAGAACTGCTTAAGGAAAACTAAATCATATTTACGATACACATGAGAAAAATTACGAAAATCCCGACACAGACAACGCGCTTCTCTGTAAGCAGAATTCCAAATTAGGAACTGAGTAAATATGTCTTAACCTCGGCAGTTTATTTATTAGGACGTCTTAAAAATTAATCACCGACTTGCATCTCTAAATTAATTTAAAAAGCCTATTATCATAAAAATGTCACATTTATTCTAACAGAACTGATATACTTGATTATGTCTTATTTTCTAAATAACTTTATTTAAAAATTTTTCATTTCGTAAAGCAGTGCATTCATATTAACTGATAAATTAAAATTATTTATAACGATGCGTGGTGCTCTTTTATACGAGTTGTAATCGGAGTAAACTAATAAATTTGATTAATTAATTAGTTAAATATTTTGGGAAAAGAATTCGAATTCTTAATAACTTTGTGAATACAAAGCTTATATTAGACAAATTAATAAAGTAATAAAGGATATAAGCAGCATAGAACTTCCAGTTAATATAATCCATCGTAACTATTATTAATTACCGCATCAAAAAAAGGCAAACGCACTTTCCAGACAGTTGAATTATTTCTTCTTTCCATTAGATGGAAAGTAAATGGCGCAGTGCGATGATCTAACACAATTATCAAGTGGCAAATAATATTAAATGACAGTATGAGAATCTTATTAATCAGTGCTGCCTGTCGAGGGGGGAAAAAGTAAAAGTAAAGGAAATAAAGAAGTTCCTACAAAAACGCAACTAAACCAGTAGTTAAAATAAAATATAATAATATAATATAATTTAAAATATATAGTAAATATAATAGTATCATATAATAGTAAAATAGTTTGTTTAAAGTTTATTGCAGTGGCTTCCAAATATTTCAGTTCGAGTCGCCCTTATCATTACAGTCAAAATCAGGTAATGAGCTCGTCTAATAATTACACTATATATTTGATGTCTAATAATGACACTACATATTTTATCTTAGTTACATTTGATGTAGTTAGGTAGGATATTTTAAACAATAAATTAGTCACGTGTTTCAAGTTAAAAAACTATTTACATAAAATATACTAAGTACATATTGTGAACAGTCATATCATTGAATGAATGAAATACTCTTGGTAGGAAGAATGAGCTTTGTTCCATTACACATCTCTTAGAAAGTCCTCCGTTAAGGCATTCCTTCCCTTAGGCAGACAGCCGTCGAGAGCTTTGCCATATTAAAATAAACCAATCCATTACAAATCTATTGAAATCTTGGAATAAATCTCTAAAAGCTGATTCACATTCGGTTCCACACTTTTTCTATCGATGACTGTTTTTTTACTTCCTTGAATGAAGTAAAGGAAGAATTCTAATCGCGAAAAGTTTCAAATATCATATTTCAACGAAAATATTTATTTTGACTGCTCCCGAATCGGTTCGAACGATGTTTCTACGTGACATCTGTTAACTTTACTAAATACTTAAATTGAACGGTTTTGATGAATGGTTGGTATGTCTAAATTCTAGGGCTTCACGTAATTCGGAACTTAGTTATAGGAACTTTGACTAAATGGCATGCTTGTCTGATAAGCATTCTCTATGAACCTTGAACCTTCATCAAGAGTTTTGTTATAACTTGTACTTTTTATGCCTTAAATTTTAAGCAACAAAATTAATAGGCATGTCATTTCAAAAATATAAAATCAAAAAATTAGTATTGTAGCACTCTGCACTAAATGACTTTCTATATGATTTTGGAAATTAGAACATTTTTGAATTGAATAACAAAGTTCTAACATGAACATTAGAACTAAATTATTATATGAGGGCAACTCATTATAAACATCAGAGTTGCATAGTTTTTCACTGTAACACAAATAGTATTTAGTATTGTAATCATCTTAACATTGTACTCGTTAATTTTTGTATTATTTTCTTTGGCTTTGTAATATATCCTTATGGCTATGTTCAACAATAGCATTGTAATTGTATATTGATTTTGAAACAATAAATGCCGTCTGTTCTGCCAACCTCTACCATGGTTGTGGTGGCTGCAGATAGTATATTTCTTTCCCCTGATTCTGGCATAATTCCACTTGGGTCGGAAGCCTGGGTCAGTGGCGTGCTGCTCATACCGACAGAATAAAGGCCTCTTTCACGACGCGTCAGAACGTTGCCTCAGAACGTTGAAATTTTTTATGTATATGGGACTGCTGTAACATGTAGTAAGGCACCTCCCTTTTTGGTTGCAATCGACCGCACCAAAATTGTATAAATACCTACATATGTATATGCACTTTTTTACCCGGCTCGGTTAGCTCAGTTTTTTTATACTTATATATTAGTAAATTGTGCATTTTTTGCTTTAAATGTGATTGAAATGTGTTGTTCTGACCTTTCGTTTAGGGCCTTTATCTGCATGCAATATTTGTAGAATTATCAACAATTTAAAAGTTGCTTCAGTGCGGCTAGGCCTAATTATTTTTACCATAGCAGCCAATTCGTTACATTTGAATCTTAGCAGAATAGGATTTTCCATTAAGAAACAATCTTCGCAACCACAAGCTAACGCCTCCTTTTATTATTGCGAATTATATCATGCTCAATCATTCTGAATTTCGAGAAAAAAGCGTTTAAGAGTTGCTTCGTAATTTTTAATATACATATTTTGAGTTTTGATGTATTTTTGCCTTGTCGCGAAGTAAAAACGGAATTAATTGAATGAGAAATACTTAATCGTGTGTGAAAAACTTTCTTTTATTGATAATAATATTTGAATAGAACATGTGGCAACGATTAGATAATTCTTCAGATGATATAAATTTTGTGCATTCTGAGTTATAAAATGACCATGCCAGGAAACTCGTCATCCGCCTTTTTATCAACCGCCTTTTTATCCGCCTTATCGTCATCCGCCTTTTTTAGGCTTTATTCTCAATGAGCCGGCAAAATTGCACTTTTGTGTAATAGTTCCGGCGATATGTTTATAAGTTATAAAGAAGAGATGAGCCCCTGTTAGTGAATTCTAGCGCCAGAGTTCGCTATGGTAACAAATAGTGAATTTAAGAGTGCATTTATTCTAATTGTGGTTTATGCGCTATCTACGAAGTAGATTTAATTCAGACCAATAAGTTTAAATTTAGTATTCCGTACAAGGAAGTCATGTGGTGTACACATCAGATTTTTTTAAAATCTCTTAGGTATCTTTACCAGTCGGTAAATTCGATAATTTACTATATTTGTGTGTTCTCTCACCCCCCCCCAAAAAAAATCTCCTCCTCTCTTATTTACAGCAGTTATTCGTTTACATGGGCTTTAGTTCAGCGCTTATCATAGCATTTTATGGGATCAGTCTTAAGTAGCTTATTTGAAGTTATAGATAATTTGTATTTTCTTGAAAGGTCAGCATAAACTTATTACTTCTACTCCATTTAGCTCCGGCAAGCGCATAATCAAATTACTTCCTCTCTCACTCAAAATCCTCATTTCCTTTCCTCTAATCAGATTCCCGATTTCGAGAGGACAAGTCTGGGGAAGGGATGAGTATGTCCGTGATGGAGCGGAAACAAGGCAGTGCCGGAAGCGGAAGTCCCATCAAGGACCAGCTGTACTATCCTTCCCCTTATGCCATGAGCCATATTCCTATGTTCCAAAAACAAGGATCGCCAGAATCGGACTGCAGCCAAAGCCTCGGGAGGAGAGAGTTCGGGCGGCACGAACACATATATGACGTTCCTTATCCACCGAAATGGGTGAGTACTTTTTTTTCCTTAACTGACCATAAATAATAACGCCGCCCGAAGGAGAAAAAACATGCACTTTATAATGTGTTTTTGCAACTGGGAGAGTATTAAAAAGAAAACATGTAGCAAGAATTTTTTTTTTCACCTGAAAACTTAAACTGCGATAGAACTTTTCATATAAAATGAAAGTCGATTTCTTCTTCTTCTTACTGTCCATACACTACTTAATCTTTTATGTTTGAAATTTTAGTATTTTTTAAAAACAAACTATTAAATTACTATGCGTTATTTGAATTTCTCGAAATGGTTCACTTTTTAATAAGTTATATTTTTAGATTAAATGTATGCGTAACTAGCGCAAGTACCCGATGCCAGTTAAGTTAGATTAAGAGTAATGTATCTAACAACAGGAAAGAACGATACCAATATAATCCTTCTCTAATAGCGATGAAAAAAATGCGATTCATATTCATTCATTTTCAGTCTGATGCCATATGGAACCCACATAAAAAATTTCCGTAGAAAAATAAACAAGTTCTCTTTCATTATATCAGCAACAATGGCACGCAATTTTTACAGACTCACGATTCGAAAGCGAGCAGTAGCAATACTTTTCCAAATAAAGCATTTTTATCCTTAGCGCTCGAGACTGTTGCCACTCGAAAAAATGAGTGCGAAAATTAATGTTTTCAGTGTTTTTAATTAATATCTCGGCTGATTGAAGTCGTACGAAGATGGGAACAGTCAAAATGGCTTCTCACGAATTTTTGGAATCTGAAATAATGTATTTAATGTTTGGCATTGCTACTCTTATTTCATGGTAAAACTTAAAATTTTTTAACAAACTCTACGATTTGGAAACGAGTAGTGGCAACACTTCTTGAAATAAAGCAGATTAGTATCTCCAGCATGCGACACTGCTGCCACTCTGAAAACTGAGGGCGAAAATTAGCGTTTTCAGAATCTTTAATTAATATCTCTTATTTTAGCTATTTTTTCTTCGGAAAAAAGTGCACGTCGACCTTTTCCAGGACTCCGTAGAAACGTGGTGACGCTAGCTACAGTAGTGACACTGAGTCAATCGCCAACAAACAGACATTCTTCTTTATATATATATATTTGATAATCATTGTAACAGCTTATAAACAATACAGGCGAATCTAAGCAGTAAAAAAATTCCTTATACATTGCTAATTAATTTTGCGTGTAAGAAGCGAAATGTTCCCATAATTTCAGACTGTGTGGTCGAATTTTGGTCAAAGTTTCACCGACTGGGACTGGAAAACTGACCATATGCAAAAGTAAGAACCAATCAATAAGTCAGCAGATTATTGCGAGAATTCGATAGATCTCTCAAAATTGATTTAAGTTTACAAAAAGTATTGTTTTCAGCTCGAATGAAAAAGATGTAGTCACGGCTTTCTTTTGACATTTAACTGCAGTTACATGTAGATTTCGAACATCGTTCAGAGATAGTATAATGCACTGATAATGTAATGGCAGCAGTGTCGCACAGGTTAAAAACGTCTGCTGTCGTAAATCGCCATTCCCCATGCATATTTTGAAAGATATGCACCACTACACCAAAGTAGACAGACAGACAGACAGAAGGATGTACAGGAGGCACCAAAACATCGCCATGGGCAAAACTGGTATCGCCCCACTGCACTACCTCTTAGAGTGTACCCTGACCGGCACGCTACACATGCTCGGGAATTAGTTTACATTGAAGCAAGCAGCATTCATAATGCACTGTTATACATTAATGGTACATAATTTGCATTGCATATAATATTGTCTCAGATATACTTTACAAGGGTACTTTGCAGTTGAATGGATAGATACAATAATTACAATGAATAATTACAATAAGTTATTTACAGATGTATATACATATTTCTTTTGTGTTTCGGTTTGGAGCTTTGTTGGTGGGGGGGGGAGTGTTTATGGTATGTGTTTCGTTGTTTGTTTAGTTTTTTGTTACAACACCAAAGTAACATGCAATTTTGTCTATGGGACTTGCGGACAATAGAGCAGCTGTTCAAAGGAGGTATTCGGTAATTGCCATCTGTAGCCTCTGTAGAGTCACTGAGTTTTTTGAAGTAGAAAACACGATAAATGAGCAATGCCCTCGTCGGGACTGGAACCTGGACCTCTCGGAAGCGCGCCAAGTGTGCTAACCGTTACACCCCGAAGGCATGCAGAAAGAAGGATAAAATTCTACCTTCCTTTTTCTCCCCAAAATAAATGCTTTATAGTTCTGGAATTTTCCACAGAAGCGCTCGTACAGCTCTTTTCAGTATCGCAGAACACAGTCAGTAGTTACACTTCAAAACAACTAAGAACGTTAAGCACAATGCATTGGAAATCGCATCTAAAAATGCGCAGCTTGCACGGAGATCTCAATACTCCTGTCAACTCTGAACTAAAAACCTGCGTGCAGAAGCTCTCTCCGGATAAATATACCGTACATTCCGGCGTATAACGCGCACCGGTGTAGAACGCACGCCTATAATTTCAAACTACATATTTTAATTTTTAAGTATATTCGCCGTAAAACTAGCACCCTTTTCTTTTAGAAGAAACCTGAAAGATACATGTATGATGCTCTAATGTTTTGAGGTCATTCATTCGAAGATTTTTCCCAGAATTTCGAACGATGGTATATTGAATTGATAAGAGATAACAGAAACAATATGTGTGGGAGGGGAATTGCTTAAGGGATTAAAAATGCTGCAGTGAGAGGGAATTGTTTTCTGTGCAGGTGTGCACAAGAATATTGTTCTAGGATTTCAAGAAAAGGGGAGCATAACTAAGGGTACGAATGCACTTCCGACACGAATGAATTCGCGCAATTAGGAGTCGGATGGTTTGTATGAATGAATGAAACGCAATAATGAATATGTTTCATATGAAGGAAATTATCCGAATAGAAGGAAATTTCCATAACGAAATTTTTTTAAGTTCATAAAGTGTGTCATTTCTTTTAAATAAACAGCATTTAGGTATATGTAGAAATCTAATTTCTGTATGCTCTTCTTTTCCCAATTTTTATGTCCGGTGTACAACGCGCAGCCTTAAATTTCGATCTAATTTTTTGTATTAAAAGTGCGCGTTATACCCGGAATATACGGTAGTTTTTCCCCGGCCGCCTAGATATCCCTAGTACCTTCTACTTCTGGAAATTAATGGAAGGCAAGTTATATGTAAGAGCCGGATTCGATTTCGATTACAGATAGGAATCAATTACAGATATTCAGTTACAGTACCAATTATATGTAATTATACAGGGACGGGAACAAAATATCGCCAAATTGTCGCCAATTATAATTACCTTTCGCGAATTCTCGCCAAATTTGATGACAAAATTAGCCACGAAAATCATTGTCTGTTTGGCGATATTTCGCCAATTTAGCGAGATATCCGTTTACCTCAATCTTGCAGATGTAATCTTATTTTTCCGGTAAAGCTTCGCTTTCTCAAGCATTTCTTGTTACATTATACAAAAGATAGTACAATTTCACATATAATTTCACAAAAATTATTAACATATATACAAAATTCGTAACACTATACATAACATGTAGCTCGAAACTATTGGTGTACTGCTCCACGGTAATTTGTCAAGTATTTCGTTCGTAATGCATTTCGCAGATTCAAGATAGCCTTTCGATGGTATAGATTACGTTGCTTTGATCGCTTACTATCGCTTACGCGTGTGTAATGCTGTATAGCGTGATGAGCAGAGCAATAATGAGGTTAATCTAGCTCCAATAGTTTCAGTCTCTGAGTAGATAGTGATTACCTTAGGAATTAAGGTCAGGTAAGATCTAGCACATATCTATGAGATCATTGAGCTTCTGCAATATTATTAACAATCTAAGACACTGAATTAATGGCATTATTCTCGTTTTCCTGAGGTGCAATGCTTATTGGTTATCCGTAAATTCAGTGTTTCTGTCCGGAAGAAGGCACAATTTATTTTTAAAGATACTTAGCTCTCATCACCCTCATTAGACTGTTAGGTTAGGAAGATCACTTTACAGTGCATGCGCAAATTGTATTTTAATACTACTTCGCAGTCTTTATTCGTAGTACTTTAAATGCTAATTTTCAGCAGGGTTATTCCATTTCAATCTTATTGTCCAAAATGTTTTACATGCTAAAGGCATTTTTGCTTACTCTACAAGATAACTAAATTTCTGCAATATGCAGGATATTTAGAATTGCATGTAATTCTCCACAGTTGCACAAGCAGAATTAAAGTGATGTTATACATGATTTGATTCGTCGGTAAAACTCTGCATGTTGAAGATCCTGAAGTCGATTGTATAAATAATATTCAGTAAATAATACAAAAGAGAAGAGAGAAAGTAAAAAAAATAAATAAAAAAAAAAACTTTTTTTAATCTGAAAGCTAATTTTACATTACGCCCAAAGGACCATTTCTTTAACTTTTGTGGATTACCTTTATTTGTTAAATATCATGCTCTTTGCACTTAAACCATAAAATTCAGTTCAATAGCAATAACGCAAAATAATTTTAAATGAGCATACCTTTAGAATTTTCAATACAAAATCTCTTGCGCTGGAGATAAACATGTTTTTTTTTAGTGTTGCCATTCCTCGCTTTGAAAGCTTTGAGTTTCTTAATCAAACATTCTTTAATGTCTGGCAGAATATGAAATAGATAATAAAACAAATTCCAAATTAGGGCTTCCAGATGCCCATATTCGTTGGAGGATTACGTTATTCAAAATTGGATGGCTCTAAGTACCGTTATTTTATCACAATGCGAGAAACATACATACATACATACATGCATTTATGTAGATTCTTCATTATTTAACTTCTTTAAATATAATACAGGGCTTTAATAATCGGTGGCTACAGTTTACAAAGTGAATCAACGCAAAATGCCAAAATGAAATTAATACCCCTTCTAGGCTAACATCCTTAGGGCTAATAATTAGATGTAATAGTATTTTAAAGACTTTTTTTTTATTTCA